GGGTGCTTTACACTACAGTTTTTAAACTGCAACATTAACACCCCTCCTTCAGAGTGCAGGCACTGTACTTCCCATCTCCAGGACTCAAGTCCGGCCTGCCGGTTTCCCTGAATCCCTTCATAAATGTTACTTTGCTCACACTCCAACAGCACGTCAAGTATTAAAAACCATTTGTCTCCATTCACTCCTATCAAACACGCTCAAGCATGCCTGCTGGAAGTCCAAGCCCCTCGCACACAAAACCTCCTTTACCCCCTCCCTCCAACCCTTCCTAGGCCGACCCCTACCCCGCCTTCCTTCCACTACAGACTGATACACTCTTGAAGTCATTCTGTTTTTTTTTTTTTTTTTTTTTTTTTTTTTTTCAACCGGCCGTATCCTACCAAGGCAGGGTGGCCCAAAAAGAAAAACGAAAGTTTCTCTTTTTAAATTTAGTAATTTATACAGGAGAAGGGGTTACTAGCCCCTTGCTCCCGGCATTTTAGTTGCCTCTTAAAACACGCATGGCTTACGGAGGAAGAATTCTGTTCCACTTCGCCATGGAGATAAGAGGAAATAAACAAGAACAAGAACTAGAAAGAAAATAAAAGAAAACCCAGAGGGGTGTGTATATGCTTGTACATGTATGTGTAGTGTGACCTAAGTGTAAGTAGAAGTAGCAAGATGTACCTGTAATCTTGCATATTTATAAGACAGACAAAAGACACCAGCAATCTTACCATCGTGTAAAACAATTACAGGCTTTCATTTTACACTCACTTGGAAGGACGGTAGTACCTCCCTGGGTGGTTGCTGTCTTCCAACCTACTACCTGTACTCGGAAGTAAGTTATTGACCTATTTCATGTTGTGTCACCATTAATTAAGAATGGATTGAAAGGATTTTCATAGCAAACTTAAAACTTAATGATTTAATTTTGGGTGGTGACATTTTTGAAGAATTGGTAAGGGATGACTCCTCGATTAGCGACAAACTCGTTTACCGACATGGTCTTAGGAACGGAACTCCATCGGTAAGTGAGGAGAAGCTGTAGAATAAAAGTAAAAATAATATTACCAAGTGAGCGGGAGTTACCGATGTTGCCATCAGCAGTTCACTTTGCCAACTTCACGCCTCAGTATCTCGGTAACTGCTGATCGCAAAAATTTTTTTTCTTTTATAACACTCAGAAAATTGTTCTTAAAATTTGGGTAAGATTTTTTTTTTGTTTTGACACAAAGTAAATTTGTTAGCAGGGCTCTCGACAGTAAACCACTAGCTACCTCTGTTGTTGTAAGGAAGTCATCATATAATTAAAATTTATCAATCTTTATATTTCTAATATTAAGTAATCAATCAATCAATCAGTCAATCAAGTTTATTCTTACTATAAGGATTACAATGCGGGGTTTACAGATTTTGGTTATTGTGTGGTTTACGTGTAATAAAATACTAATTACAGAGGGGGCCACTAGGACACCTAGCATGGCTAGGCATTTCGGTCAAAGTAGTCTATAAGCATTAGGTTTAGTCTGCCTGAAATGCCCCGGCATGATAGTGGCTTTGTACTAAAATCAAAATTATAATTACACATTGTAACCTTTGCGAAGAAATAAAATCTTTTTTTTTTTTTTATTATCACACTGGCCGATTCCCACCAAGGCAGGGTGGCCCGAAAAAGAAAAACTTTCACCATCATTCACTCCATCACTGTCTTGCCAGAAGGGTGCTTTACACTACAGTTTTTAAACTGCAACATTAACACCCCTCCTTCAGAGTGCAGGCACTGTACTTCCCATCTCCAGGACTCAAGTCCGGCCTGCCGGTTTCCCTGAACCCCTTCATAAATGTTACTTTGCTCACACTCCAACAGCACGTCAAGTATTAAAAACCATTTGTCTCCATTCACTCCTATCAAACACGCTCACGCATGCCTGCTGGAAGTCCAAGCCCCTCGCACACAAAACCTCCTTTACCCCCTCTCTCCAACCTTTCCTAGGCCGACCCCTACCCCGCCTTCCTTCCACTACAGACTGATACACTTTGAAGTCATTCTGTTTCGCTCCATTCTCTCTACATGTCCGAACCACCTCAACAACCCTTCCTCAGCCCTCTGGACAACAGTTTTGGTAATCCCGCACCTCCTCCTAACTTCCAAACTACGAATTCTCTGCATTATATTCACACCACACATTGCTCTCAGACATGACATCTCCACTGCCTCCAGCCTTCTCCTCGCTGCAACATCTTTATCTTTAGATATTTCATACTTTCGACCTCGGGAAAAATGCTGATGAATTTCCTTATGTTCACATTTAGGTTTTCTTAACCTATAAAGCAGGTTCTTTTGATTTTTTTAGAAACTCATTTGTGAACACACTTCTCTTCACTGTGATGGAAGAACTAATTAGGAAGAACTAATCCTATGCTTAATATCTGTAATCCTCACAACTATTAAAACATTGATTGTGTCCACATTATTAATATGCTAGGATCCTCATTACCTGTAATCATAATCATAAACCTTTATTTCTTTAATCAGATTAACTTGATAAAAGCCATATAGCATGAACTAATAGGATATTTAATTCTCTTGTATTCATTGTAACTCCTAATTATATTTTCAACCACTTAAGAGACTGTAGGTAAAACAACTCAGTTTGTTATTGCCTTATTAATCTTAAGTTTGCCCGAAACTCTCTGCATATTAAGGGACTTTCTGCATGCACATCTAAATGTCATTCACCTCTGTACAAACATTGTATCATGCTGAAATAAAGTACAGTAGAACCTTGGTTTTTGTTTGCTCTGATTTTCATCGATTTCAGTTTTCGACAACTTTTTTTGCCGGTTTTGTCCCAGTTTTCATTCATCACCTTGGTTTTCATCGAGTTGACAGTGGTCTGCCATACCGAACGTGTCTACCTGCCCTGAGGGTGGTGTTAGTGATGGTAGAGGGTGGTAGTGGTTGTGATGGTGGTAGAGGGTGGTAGTGATTGTGGTAAAGGGTGGTAGTGATGGTGGTAGAGATAACCTCTCCCCTCCTCGCCGTCGTCTGTACGCCAACAAGAGTCTTCAATAAAGGTAAAAGTGATGTTAAATGTACATTTATCCATTTCATTAGTCCTTTATATGCATTTCTCATTGTTTTCTGTATGTAAAACTATAGTTATTCTCTATAAAAAGCATTTTTTGTTAATACTTTTGGGTGTCTGGAACAGATTAATTGAATTTACATTATTTCTCATGGGAAATATTGCTTCAGTTTTCGTTGAATTTGGTTTTCGTCAGATTTTCTGGAATGAATTAATGACAAAAACTGAGGTTCCACTGTATCTTCTTTTTCACCTATGAATGAAATCTTAGCATTACACTTTATTTAAGACTTGGTTTGCCAAATAAATGGGCCTCTTTGATAGCACTACCTTCTAGGTTAACCTGAATATCATCATTGATGAGCTGTAGTGCGGTTTACATGGAACCTGGGATAATGTCTTCAGGCAGACAAGAGCTGTTTACAATCACGGCATCTGATAAGTGCTGTTGTTCAGTTTGGTCCTTTTGATTTTGAAAGTTTACAAAACTATATCCATGTGAGATTTCTGATAATGTACAGCATCCTGTATCTTGGTGTTGAGGGAAGTTGTTTGTTCAGTATGCTTAACAACAGCTGACTGCACTTCTTTGTTGTCATTTGTTTTTCTTGGTTGGGCAGCTCTTGCTTGAGGTCATGGATCCTTTTCCCTTGAGTTAAGTGGGTGAGTTCAAGGTCAGCAACCTTTTTGACATTAAAGTCCTGTGATGATTGAAGCTGGCTTTTTTCTTTTTAATGTGCAGTAAGTCATATAATGAGCTTTGATATGCTTGGCCTGCACTCTGATGACTTCAGCAGTTCCTGGATGCTCCTCAGTTCCTCTAAGAATACTGATTATGATTAGAGAGCAGTGTAATTAGCAGGTCTTGTGCTTGAAACTTGGGTGGCTTGTTGTTCGTCTGGCAGTGTGGCTGCAAGTTTGATGAGTCATTGGATACCCACAGTCTATAATTTTGTTTCCACTTATGTTAGTGCATTAGAACTTAATATTTAATTTTAAACCATCATTAGGGGAGAGCTTGTATTGACCCAGGGGAATGGAAAATTGAGGAGCTCCTTTGCTGTTACCATCAGCATGACTGAGGGACTGAACACTACTATTACTTATTATATACTAGGATTAGTCTGCCCAAAATGCCCCAGCATGATAGTGGCTTTCTTTGTACTTAACAAATCAAAATTATAATTATACATTGTAACCTTTGCAAAGAAATAAAATCTTTATTCTTTTATATCACCACTAAGTAAACCCCACCTATGCTGATGTGACCACTACTAGTACTTCATCGCTGTTACTTTCACGTCACTGCTTCAGCTGTTTAATTTCTTTTTTTTTGTCTGTATTAGTTTAATGAAGCTTGCTGTCAGGTAGAATGCCTTGCTAGGAATGATACCACTTATTTGTGACATGTACTTGCTGTCAGGTAGAATGTCTTGCTAGGAATGATACCACTTATTTGTGACATGTACTTGCTGTCAGGTGGAACGTCTTGCTAGGAATGATACCACTTATTTGTGACAGACAATGCTTATAGGCTTAGCCAGAGTCAGTGCATATCTTGCTGAAATTAATTTTGGAAGAACTTGTTGCTTTTTTCTGGTTTAGGTCTAATCATGGATTTTACTTCATGGGGACTAAGAAAAATATTCCAAGAGAAAGCCAAAAATGTTTGGGGGGAAGACTATGATCCCCTTGCTTCTCTGTGGTTGCTGGCCTTTTTTTAATACATATGAGTTGATCATCCATTGTTTTTGCTTAAGCAAATTTTGCTGATAGTTTTGATTATTGATGTTTTTTTCACATAGCAGGTTTCTTTTTGCATGTGGCTTGACCCTTATTAATTGAAAACTAATAAGAGAATTTTGTCCATAATTTGCTCATTGGATTTGCCACAACTAAATCAGTTATTGTACTTGTCATTCTTACTTATTGTCAATATTAAACCAATGACAGCAACAATTAAAGATGCATTACCAAAAACATGATTTTAATGAATATTATTGTTCATGTATTAAACAGGAAAAAGTTTCAGTAGTATGGGCATGTAAAATTTCATGTTATTTGCAAGAGGCCTCCCAGAACCCTTCACTCGTAAATTGTTGTATACATCTTGGAACAAACTTCAGCATTCCTTTGTGTCATGGTTTGGTAACCTTTGAATTAGTAAAGGTAGTTTTTCTCTCCTTGAATCTCGAGTAACATTTGAGATGTGTCTACCTTTGGCCATGCTACAGTGTCCACATCCTCTTCCCCATCCTCAGGCTCTTGGGAGGAAACATTGGGCTCGGAGTGAAGGACCATATCCATGAGCAGCTCATCTGTCCTTAACATATATACTGAAGTATTTACATCATACTGAAGCAATGCCTTTGTCCTCTGCTTGTACACTGGCAAGATCATGCGAAGCATCAGTGAACATTGTGGCACACAAGGTATTTGAAACACATTGCACCAACGCAGATTTAACCATCTTTCTTGCTGGTATATTGTCGAATTCAAGATACTCGTCCTCCTCACTGTCAACAAATAATATAGCAGACCAAAGTTTTTGACAGGCTTCCTGTCTAATATTCTTGGTTGAACTTCCTTGTTTTTAAGCTTTGCGACATTCAGAATATATCTTTTGTGAATTGCCTGAGGAATGATTGTACTGTACTGCTTCTCTAGGTTTCTTAGGTGTACAATAATGACTCATTAAATTATTCTTTAACTTCTGATCCATGGGGTGTATGAATGAGGGTTCCATCGAGTGGTAACCAAGTTGTAAATATAATGCCATTTTCCTAGTTCATCATTTATATAAGAGCATACAGTACTAGCTTTACTCTCCTTAGGCTTTTCAGTATTATTGAAATAACATTTCACTGCTTATGTAGTTATAATCTAACCAATCTCTTGAAAGCTTCGCTTCCATGCAGGTATTACTGCAAGCATTGTAAACCACTGAGTGGTACACATCTTGCATTCCTAGTTGTCCTAAGATTCTGTAACCTGCCCACTACCAGTAATGTTAAGCAATGTGTTCTTGCAACATTCCCACACACCAGCACAGTGAATTTTTTCTTCATGAATCTGAATCCACATAAAGTACATAATTATATCTGGTGTGTGTATATTTTGCCCACTGACTTCATAAATTTAATTATCATATGAAACCTTGTTAATACCTTGCTTCATTAGTCATAAGGCAGCTTTTTCTTAAAAAAAAAAAAAAATGCTAAGTTATACACCTCTGAGCATCATTTTTTTTTTTAACATGCTGGCCATCTCCTACCTAGGCAGGGTGACCCAAAAAGGAAACACTTTCACCATATTTGCCTCTAACACTGTCTTGCTGGAGGCACACAGATACAATGGTTTAGATGTCCCTCCCAAACCCCCTCCTTTAAAGTACAGGTATTGTACTTCCCACCTCCACAACTTAAGTCTGGCTAACCAGTTTCCTTGAACCTCTTCACAAAATATTACCCTGCTCACACCCCAACAACCCAAGTCCCAAAAACCATTTGTCTCCACTCCTGTCTAACACACACTGACATGCCTGCTGTATGACCAAGCCCTTTGCACTCGCAACCTTCTTTACCCCCCCCCCTTCCATCCTTTCCTAGGATGGCCCCTACCCCACCTTTCCTCCACTACAGATTTATACACCCTCCAAGTTATCCTATTTTGCTCCATCCTCTCTAATTGACCAAATCACCTCATCATCCCCTCCTCAGCCCTCTGGATAATACTTCTAGCAACTCCACACCACCTAATCTCCACACTATAAATTCTATACATAATATTTACACCACACATTGCCCTTAGACATGACAACTCCACTGCCTCTAGCCTCCTCCTCACTACAACATTCATCACCCATGCTTCACACCCATATAAGAGCATTTGTACCACTGTACTCTTGTACATTCCCTGCTTTGCCTCCATGGTGTAATGAGGTATCTTTGTCTGCACAGATACCTCGCTGCACCACCTACCTGTTTTCCCTTCATCAGTTCCATAGTTTGCCTCATCTTTCATATACTCATCAATCATGTCTACTCCCAGATATTTGAACACATTCACTTCCTCCATACTCCCTTCCCAATTTTTCCGTACCCGACTCTTTTGATACCCTCATTACCTTATTCTTATCTGTGTTCAGTTTTAACTTCCTTTACACACCCAAACTCATCCACTAACCTTTATAACTTCTCTTCAGAATGTTCCAAAATCAGAGTATTATCAGCAAAAATTAAATGTGCCAACTCCCATTTTGAATTAGATTCCACATACATATTTTAATCCCACCATTCTCCCCAATGCCCTAGCATTTACTTCTTTTACAACCCCATCTATAAATACAGTGGAACCCCAGTTTTTGAACTTAATCCATTCCAGAAGGTGGTACTAAAATCGAAACGTCCGATAACTGAATCAATTTTTCCCATGAGAAATAATGTAAATGCAATTAATCCATTCCAGACACCCAAAAATATTCACCAGAAATTCATTTTTTAAAGAATATAGTTTTACATGTACAAAACAAAGATAAATAAATACAGATAAATATAAACATTACATACCTTTATTGAAGACTTGTTGGCATATGGAAGGAGAGGAGGAGAGAGAGAGTTGGGGTTATTGTTTAGAAGGGGACTCCTCCTCTGTAATGACTTCAGATAACAAGTCCCTCTCTGGGGTTACTTCCCTTCTTTGTCTTTTAAAGGCACTAAGACCAGGTTGAGTCACTGGACCCCTGTCACACAAAATATCTGTCCAGAGAGGTCTGTTTCTGGCATCTCTTCAAGATTTGTCTGAAGTGGGCCAAGGTTCTGTCACTTAACATGTTGTAGATCTGGTTGTTTCAGCTTGGTCAGGGTGGTATTTCTTCACAAAACTTTGCACCTCCCTCCACTTTGCACAAATGCCCTTAATCACTGAAGAAGGCACCTTCTCCCCTCTATCTACCACCTCCTCTGAAGCCATTTTTTTTTCAACTGCAGTTTGTTGCTGCTTGAGTTGAAGGTTTTGCAGCTCTTCAGTGGTTAGCTCTTCCCAGTGGTCCTCCACCAGTTCTTCCACATACTTGCCACTCACCTTCAACCCCATGGACTTACCCAGTCCCACAATACCTTCCACAACAGGCAGAGGGTCGGCAGGGTCAGGGTCAGCCTCAAACCCTTCAAAATCCCTCTGGACGACACATTGTGGCCACAGTTGTCTCCAAGCAGAGTTCAGAGTCCTGGAAGTCACTCCTTCCCAAGCCTTACCTATAAGGCTTATGCAATGGAGGATATGGAAGTGATCCTTCCAGAACTCTCTTAGGGTCAATTCAGTGTGTGAGGTCACTTCAAAGCACCTTTGAAACATTGCTTTGGTGTAGAGTATTTTGAAGTTAGAAATGACCTGCTGGTCAATGGGCTGGATGAAAGGAGTGGTGTTATGGGGCAAGAACTTCACTATTATAAAACTGAAGCCCCTGGACAATTGGTCTTCCAAGACTGGAGGATGAGCAGGAGCATTGCCTATTAACAGGAGGCACTTGTGGCAATTTCTTTTCCAGGAGGTATTTTTTCACAATGGGGCCAAACACATCATTGACCCACTCTTTGAAAATTTGCCTCATGACCCATGCCTTATTAGCTTTCCACATCACACACAATTTACTCATGAAGACATTGTTTTTCTTGAACACTCTGGGATTTTCAGTGATACACCAGTGAAGGCTTCAATTTGAAATCTCCACCCCACTAGCTTTAGCACAACAAGGACCCCAATGGAAATAAGTCACTCTGTCTGACTTTTTTGGGTTATCCTAGGTTCTCTACACATATGCTGCTATGTATGATAATTCTTTGTAACTGTATTTGTGTATACCTGAATAAACTTACTTACAAGAGTGTTAGCCTGTCTTTCATAGGCTTGTCCTGGCAGTGCCTTTTCCTTCTGCATGATGTAGGTACTCTTTGGCAGTTTCTTTTCCAAAAGAGGCCTGTTTCATCACAATTAAACACTTGTTGGGGAGGAATTCTTCAGCCTCTACATACCCCTTGAATTTATGCATGAATTTTTCAGCCGTATGTTTGTTTGAACTTACTTGCCTCACCTTGCCTTACAACACTGTGCATGCCACTATGCTTCTTGAATCTGCTGAACCAGCCTCTGCTGGCCTGAAAATCACTAACAGCAGCACTCATTCCAGGCATTTTCTTTACAAGATCTGCACGTTACTGTCTTGCCTTTTCACAAATGATCGACTCCACAACACTATCTCCCGCTAACTGTTTTTCGTCGATCCACATTAACAACTACTACTCAATATCTTCCACTGTTTGTGATCTCTGTTTTGTTAGCACATTCACCCCTTTTGTAACTTTAGCTTCCTTGATTTCTACTTTGTTTACATTCTCCATGAGCACTGTGCCTCTCCATTATGTCTGGAAGCTTTCCAAAATTTCAAGCGTTTTAAAGTTATTTCATATTTTATATATACGTACTCTGGTAATTATACTTGTGTACCTGTACCTAAATAAACTTGTATACTGTGCTGGTGTGCAGGTACACATTAAGAGCAGTAAGAGTGTTATGTCTCGAGGACGCCATATTAACTGATAATAATACAACCTCTCCTCACTTAACGACAGAGTTAGGGGCCTAAGACCCTGTTGGTAAATGATTTCGTTGCTAATCGAGGAGTCACCCTTTACTGACATTTCAAAAGTGTCGCCACCCAAAATTGAAACTTTGTTTTATGTTTGCTTGGGAATTCCTTTCATTCTGTTTATTAGTAATGATAATACAACATGAAATAGGTCAATGACTAGGGTAAGAGTGATCGTCTATAGTTACAATTTGGGCACGTGACATTTTCTGTTTTGGTCGCTGTCACTTTTTTTTTTTCTATCCCTCCTGGCCCTCCACCCTTCAATACCTCTCTATATAATGTCAGTTTTTATTAATTTGGGAGTCTTTATCATACTTCTACATTATTTATGTTATACCTAATATTATTTTGGAATAAATATGATAGGTAGATAACCTTTGTTGATAGTAATAGTAAATTATACAATATTTTGTAGTGGCTTGAGCTTACACGTCCGTACTTCATGGTGAGGCACGAGTTACTGAGAGACACTACTCATGCTTTCTCCCTCTCTGTCGTACAGCCCAGCACACCCTCCAATACCTCTCCACAAGTGTCAGTTTTTATTAATTTGGGCGTCTTCATCATGCTTCCACTGCCTAGTTATTATGGCTTGAAATCCTGTCGATGCTTTCACTGCCTCTTTCATTATCTTTATACTTCAAGATAGTGGAAATGGTAGAGTGCGCCAGCTTCAAGGCATCGGCTATCACTTGCACTTTCTAACCAGCGTCTTTCTCATTTATAATCTTCATTTTTACCTAAAGATCGCGAGCCTTCCTTTGTTTCTTGGCACTTCCTTCA